TTATTGCACGATTATTGTGCGTAGAATAGTAACAACAACAATAATAATAATAATAATCATAATAATAATAATAATAACAATAATAATTACTCGCCCAAACACGACTATATTTATTAAATTTATGTATATACGTAAGAGTTTCTTTTCAAATCTCCTAAAAAACTTGTTTTAATTGAAGAAAAAATGTGATTGAAAGGACGGTCGTTAGTATAATATCTGTCGTACTCACCTTCGTTTATAATTATTATTATTTCCTTTATTTTATTTATTTATCTCAAAAATGCTCAAGCGCTTTCCTATAATAATTTTATAATCAGCATAAAAAATAAATTCCCTATTAGCTAACGGTGTGTGTGTGTGTTTGTGTGTGTGTATGTCCATCATGAAAATTATTTTACGGCATGTGTTTTACTAATAATATTCTTCATACTTTTCGGATGCCCGTATATGTGAGTGTATGTGTATGTGTGTATTTTATTATTATTATTATTATATCTTTTTAATGTTTAAGTTTTGTCAAGATCTGGTCAATGTTTTTTTCTCTAATCTGTACATAGTTAAGAATATATATATATATATATATATAATTATAAATAAGCTCTCTATATAGCCTTCCATCGTTCAAAAGCATGATTTCACACACGCAAACACACATATATATCTATATCCTCTCTTTCTCTCTCCCCCCCCCCTCTCTCTCTCTCTCTCTCTCTATCTCTTTTATACAAAAAAATTCTCCATTTATACTCTATTTTTCTCTCTCTTTCTCTAATCGAGCTTTACGATCATTAATTCGATTGCGAACAGATTAAGGAGAATTATCTTACCATTTCGTATGTACAGACGAGTCACATTTACTCACGCTCATTCGCACTCTTATACTCCCTCTCTCTCCCTCTTTCTATCTATCATCTATCTTTCTATAGCAATCGTGTAAAACAATAAATTGAAAGTTGAAAACTAGATAAATACATTGAAACTTGATGTATACTTCAAATGCACACGTTGGCCTATTTGAAAATTTCAATTATCTGTCACTGCGTTTATTGTTATTATTATTATTATTATTATTATTATTATTATTATTATTATTATTATTATTATTATTAATTCTTTTGCGATTTGTTTGCTATTACTTTTGCTTGCTTGTATTTGTTAAATACATATACATAACATCATATATCGACATACACTTAAGCGTAAGTCCACTATATAAATTTGTGGTGTGTGATTAGATTATAGCACTCTGCAGAGAATTCACGAATCAGTCGGTTTTTTTTATCAATTGAAAGAGAAATTGTTGATGAAGGAATGGACTTTTTTTCTTTTTCGGTCTATTTCTTTCATCAATTCTTGCGATTAGTCTTTGTGTGGCTGTGTGTATGTGTATATGTGTATGTGTGGGGCTTTGCCTTTTTCCTTAGGGATTGCTTTCCCAACGAGCTAATTGAATACGTCTGCTGTCTAATGATGGGGATAGGAGGGACCTCAATGACGCACTCGGGGGTGAACCTCCGAAATATTTCAATGTTAAAGGTGATTGCAGGTGTCTGTGTCTGATCACCTCTCGCTCAGCAGGCAGTGGCCAGAGTTCCTGCGTGCAACAGGGTAATACGTATATTATTATTAAGTTAGGTACATTTGCATCTGTTTGATATGATGATTTAATCTTGGAGAAAACAAAAATTAAGTATGTTCTTCTCGTCGTTGTCTTTTTTTTGTTCGTGTTATTTTTATTTTGAACTTAGAATAAATGGTCATGCCTTACGAATTAGGATGGAGCCCGTGGTCTCCTCGAGCAGTGTTGGCCCGAGCAATTTACCTGCAGCGAGAGAGCCTCGTCTCAGGATTCGCCTTGTTTATTTCTACGACCAGTGAGAGAACCAACGAGCGATTTCAAAGTCGCTCCTAAGCCCCTACCACTCGGCGTGTTCAGGCTAGTTGCGTTTCTGAACCCTTGCGGATGTGCGTCCAAACATTTCTGATACCTTAGCTATCGAAATAACGAACATTTAATTCTCTTATCGGTAGGCTTTATCTTTAAGTATAAATTTCCTTCGAAACACTAAATAGGTCGCTTCAATTTGGATCGATTTAATAAACCGGACCAGATTTTTCTCTAATTATCAATTGGCTTTTCAATGTATCTATTTAACAGTCCAAATAATTTTGCTAGTTCAGCTATTATGAAAAGGAAGAAAAAAGATTAGACTCACAAATGTCAATTGGTAGGTTTTTTTATAAGTCTCAATTTAGGTCCACACATTTTTGATACCTCAGCTATTATAAGAACAGAAAAATCAATTGCTTTTATAAACTGTTAATTGATAGATTAGTCTGTGGAATAGTCCAAATATAACATTGCTGATACTTCAATTATTTTATGTTCCGAATAGGGAAAAACTATATTTACTGTTGTAAATTGATACGTCAATTTAAATTTATCTAATTGCAAGAGTTTCCGTCTAAATAGTCCGAAAATATTTCTGATTCCATCTCTCGGGGTTCGTAATAGTCAATTGGTATTCGAGAAGCTAATTCGATATCGTATTTATTAAATCTACCTTGCAAGCTGCTTCAATCGTCTTGCAGAGAGCACCACTGCTAGGCTCGCAGTTGAAGACATGTGCGATGAAAAGATCTTGAGCTGTATGCATGATGAAAGCACATTGTTTCACGTTACGACCAATACCAAGGAAGGACAAGTAACGAACTCGACATTCGGTGATCAATTTGTCGTCCTACGAATTACAAATCATTCTTTTTCATTATCATTACTTTTGCAATGAAAATTATGGATGTAAAAAGAGATTTACGTTTGGCGTGAGTATGGAGATCATGCTAGGTGCTACCGCAACGTTAACGTTTCGCCATTGATTCAGGGGTGTATTTGACACGATGTGATCTATCGCATCGTTTAACACCTCCATTCCAGTTGCATTGGTGACCTGCATCGATCCGAGATATTGTGCCTTTAGTACTTTCTTTGGTTCTTCCATTGGTGTTGGGAAAGATTGCGCTGAAATAATAATCGATATTGTTTTGACTTAGTAATTGGAATAATCAATTAGGAATTTGATTACTTACTGACTAGTGCCTGTCCATTTCTGTGAAAACGTCGATGTTCAGTCGGTAGATTCGTCGGTCTCGTCGCCAAGCTCGTCCGGCCATTTATGTCAACAGGCTTGGCTAAATTCTGATGCTGCGATCGTTCGATCATGATTTTCTTACAAATATCACGAAGGGTGTTTGCGATCGTACGCGCTGGAATGTCGCAACGGAACACGTGACACATGTGCTTTCGAGTTGATCTGTCTCTTGCTACGTATGCAAAGTCTCTAAACAAATTAAACGAATCATTCGTTAATCGCTGATCTTTATTCTTAATTGTCTTATTATAATTGCCAAGATAAATTTACCTTTCGCTGTTGAGTTCGTCCAAACATTTTAGAAACGGACATGCAACAAATGTTTATCGGTTAAAATGGATAACTTGTAGAGTCTCCTATATTAATTAGTTTAATTTCGCGCATCGTTGATGACTTACCGACAATGATCTCTTCCAACACCCCAAACTCTGACTGTGTGAATTGGCTGAGTATTGAGTACTGTGAGATTTTCCGGATCGATTAGCTTCAAGGCTCCCTCATCTAGGTCCATGAACAAATCCTTTCCCTGAAATAAAAAAATAGTATAGTTTAATATAAATGTTGAATTTAATTGAAATCGTTGAAAAGTTGGAAACTTACATCACCCCATCGTCCAACGACATCGAGTAAATCGTTTCTACCGAGCGATAGATCGACGATACACTTGTTAACCGCTTTGCTAGATCTTTCAGGCGTTAGATCCTCTTCAGCAATTTCCGTCCAACCCAACGATCGTACCGCGAATCTAATCGGCTTGTCTCTACCTTCGGAATCGGCTCTAGCTGGATAGCTTCTTCGTCTAAAGTGAAATTTTGGTTGATAAAAAGTAACAATTCAATTCGAATGATAACGATAAGATATTGATCTTACTTTAATGCAAGTTCCACTTTTCTTTTGTTTTCCAATTCCTGATCGAGAGCCGAGCTCGTATTGCTACGTGTTACAGTGTTTACTATACCACCAAGACTATGAAAATTATTTATCTGTCAAAATAAAAGTGGGTAATTAATGTGTGAAAGAAAAGAAAACAGATCGCAAATGCAATTGAAACTTACGCTGTCGTTATCTTTGACCAAGCTCCTACGATTCTCGGTTTTGTTGTGAACCGGTGCTTCTGGTGGTTCTCTTTGAATGTTTCCACTTTTGACGTGCCAGTAATAAGGACCATTTTCGTCTAGGAAATTTCAATTTCAGAAAATAAATATGTCCGTAAATAAAAAAAGAAAAAAGAAATGAATGAACACATACCTTCGTGTTTCTGCCAGCCAGGTGGCAAATTTTCATCCTTGTCTTCGGAATCATTGGCGTCAACAATGTCGGTCGGTGCCTTATCCTGAATATTATTTTGCAATGCGGAATTGTTCTTTTGATCCTTAGGCTGCCTTCGTTTAACAGGGACAGCATAGAGTTCGCTGTTCAAGCCACCCTCAACGTGTGGTACACCCCCCATCTCTGTCGTTTCGTTATCAGCTTTCTCGCAATAACTGAAAGATCGCAAAGATAGAAACCTCTGTGTACGCGCGCATGTGTTTTCCAAAATAATTTGCGTTTGTTTAAATTCGTTCTCGCACAGTATTCAGCCTTAGCGTTGTAAAATAAATTGATCGGATCGATTGGAAGCAAGGGACCAATAATCAACGCCAAGCTACGGCAATGTATCTTAGAATGGATCATTTATGGGCATAACTTACAAGGCCAATTACTACTTTGCTATGCGGAATTTAGGGGTGGAGCGTGGGCTGTGATATTAGGACTACTTAAAGTTTAAAGTTATAGGTTGTATTATATGAGGTAGGGCTTGGGAAATAGTCGGTTTTCGTTGTCATTGATTAATCTCACGGGAATGTTATATTAAAACGATCTACGATGCGTTACATTAACGATTGCATTTGCTTATAATCATCGTTGCAATGCCATATAATATATAGCTTCAATTTGACAAAACAATTTGTTCATTAATACGACGAGATTCAAGGCAATACATTTGTATATTAGATACATACATATATGCAATTGTATATAGGAATAAGCATATGCTCTTATTTACTGCAGCAACAAATAGACGTTGAAGCCACGTAGGGAGAAACCTTCATAGAGCGTTTCGACCCACATAATCGATATAATAACAATACTACCAAACAATATACACAATGCTCTCGATCGAAGGCAAGTACGAACAAGCTACATCGTACCTACGAAAGCTATTTACTTTGCTAGGTCAACTAAAAGCGGCGGACACTTTATTGATCCGCCTAGCTCTCGAGAAATCGATCGCTTTGCAAGAATGAAGAAAGAAAGAAAGAAATAGAATACAATAAAATGAAACAGGAGAGAAAAATACAGATATAGAAAGAGAGAGAAAGAGAAAGAGACCAAATGAAAAATAAACAAATTATATATCAGAAATCAATTTATTAAAAGCTAAAACCAGCGATACTAGTGGCATGACCAATAAGTAGTGTCGATATTTCTAATATTCATTTTAGCGTTATGTCTGTTTTTTTTATTTCAATATAAAATATTAACAATTGCGACGATACTTATTGGTCGACCGAATAGAAACACAGAAAATAAGCAAACAAATAAATTAGAAATAGACAGAGAGAGAAAGAGAGAGAGAGAGAGAGAGAGAGATTGGGATGGAAAGGGGGTTGGGTGGGAAGAGAGGGAGAAAGAGATAGAGATCAGGTACAAAGCAAGCTGAATCTAAAATAGAGAGAGAGAGAGAGAGAGAGAGAGAGAGAGAGAGAGAGAGAGAAAGAGAAAGAGATAGAGATTGAGGTACGATCGAGCTTATTCGTACGTACTTTCTCGTAGCGGAAATTTCCGCAGCGTTGACGGTAGATCCTGTTTGCTGGATCAAAGAAGAAGATCTAGATGGTAGGATCGACGATGACGAAGACGTCGTTGGCGGCGAGGACGACGGCGACGATGGTCGAGGATTCCCGTTGAGGGTGTCGTCGACCAAAGTGGACTCCGTCACACCCTCGCTGCTGTACCTAAATCAGGTTTCGTACACCCAATAGAACACCTATTTACTTTCTATATACTTTCATCTAATTTTCTTGTTTTATTATTTCTTTTTCTCCATTTAGATCGATGCTTCAATCCTGGTTCTAATTAAATGTTCTAGTCAATAATAATATTGGATAAAAATACCATGGTTATAATTTATTCGACGATTTCTAATTTATTCTAATAAGTTTAAGACGGTGTGGTACACGTGTAACTGCAAGGTAGTCGACACTTTAATTAACGATCGGTGAACGGAAGCAGACGGCAAACGTGGTTAGTACAGGCTCGCGAACCATGTCCAAGTAATTAAGGGATTAACTCGACGCTTTGGAGCAGACTAATACTAATCTATTCTCGAAGACTGTATAACTGTTACTTAGGACATTTTCAATTTTTCTTTCGCATCGTTGTTTTTCTTAACACTCCCGTGGTTAATATATCGATCTGAAATCTTAAAAAGTGTTTTAAACGAGTGAACTCAAATGTAAAGCGGTAAGAGACCACACGGATCTTATTAATTGTATTTCTCAATTTTGCGTAAACAGACGCAATCCGGATGCAATTCGGATCCAAGCTAGAACGTAAATGTAAAGTTGTAAAGGCTATTGGGTTTCTTAATTATACTTTTCACGAAGAAGAGGTAGGGTGATATTGTTAACGGGTTGCTAGGATGAAATTTTACACCAACCCCTTTTGCTTCCTTACAGTAAGATCAATCCTTTTTTTTTTTTTCACTTGGCCTTTTTAGCCTTTTTTCTTGCGCGCTGTAGTAGTGTTGAACTATCGATATCAAGTTTCTAGCTGTTACATATCCAACGCCAAGTTAGATGACACTATTTTGCAATGGGAGTATTTGGGTTAGGAGAAATTGGCAATGTGCCAAAAACAGGAGTTGGGGTTGATAGAGAGAGAGAGAGAGAAAGAGAAAGGGGCGAAGGGGATTCTATGGTATCAATGCGGTCGAACCGCAGAGTTGATCGATCGATCCCAATGCTTATGCGGAATATCATGATTCCTGAATTTGCTATGCAGAAATAGGGTAAACAGTAATCGCGGATATACGTGTACAGATTATTTTAATAAATAGTATACGAAATGTGTTCCATTACGATTTTTAATTAATTTATATTTGCGGTTGATTAATTACATTTCTCTCGTAAAAGCGAATAATTATAGAAATCATTATTAATCATTTATTTGAGTAAGGTATATATTCTTAAATGACACAAATAAAAAGTTAGATTAATAATAAAAAAAATGATCTAATCGATCGTTAACGAGAAGTTCAACGTGACTTGGAACGATGAGAAGTTAGCGTCATGAGAGGACGCTAATTAGCGCCGAGTCATAAAGTCTCCCGCCCAATTGCACCGACCAAAATCGGCTGACGGGCAACCGCGAGTCCACCTATTATGTACGTTTGCTCTCTCTCTCTCTCTCTCTCTCTCTCTTTCTCTTCACATATATGTACATGTATATTTTTGTTTGTGTGTGGGTGTGTGTACGCGGGTTCATGTCTCGTAACTTTTAGTCAGGTGTAATTAAACCCAATTAGGTCGTAAGGCGAGATACTCGCGAGGCACCTGTCCGTGCAGTAAATTACACCGCGAAGACCGTTACTTATCCATCCTGTTGGAATTATGATACTTTTGTTTTTTAAATGAAAACTTCTTTAGAATCGTTGCGATTTGAAACTCGATGAAACGGAAATAAGGAAACGACATTAAAAAGTTAACAAACACAATATACATCTAAAGGGTTTAACCTGCGAGAGAATGAGATCAAATAATTATTTGAAAAATTGATTGATCAAATCCAAATCAATGCATTTATTTCATACTTTAATTACCATAAGTCACATGTGTTGTCATTTGTTGATAATTGAAAACTTGCTTGAGTCTGTATAATATGTAATCTAGTATATGTAATATCAAATGTAAACATTCGTCTGATTCTTTCGAAGTTTCATTTTCCAAAGGTTTCATTTCTGCCGCGTGTCTTATCTTTTTTTATTACTCGTATCTCTTTTATTAAATTCTATAAGGATTATATCCGAAAATCACGACACCCCTTCTTATCGAACATGTAAAGAAACAAAAGAAAGAAAGAAAGAAAGAGCTAGATGAAATACTCGGTTGAAAAGACAAGCCTTTACCGAGCGAAATCGAAGACGGGGTCACCACGAGGGGTCACTTAAGAAGGAAGGAAGGAAGAAAGAAAGAAAGAATAAGGTAGATAGATAGATAGGGTTGGTGGTGGTGGTGGTGGGTCGGTTTCGAAGCGTGCAGTCAAGCAGCCGATAAGACATACGCCAGTGCCGTACCTAGGAGAGAAAAGCTGGACTCGTGAGGCTCGAATGGAAGGGATAGGGGTGGGGGGAGGGTTCGCCGGTAGTACGTATTGATCGAAGCGAAGCGAAGAGAGAAGCACCCTCTCTCTAGTTCTGGCTCACTTCCTACGGACGCCCACGTACACGCTCTTTTACTTCTCCATACAATTCTTTTTTTTTCTCTTTCTTTTCTTTTCTTTTCTTTTCTTTCTTTCTTTCTTTCTTTTCTATTTCTTTTCTTCTTCTTATTCTTATTCTTCTTTCTTCAATTTCTTTTCTTTTACTTTTTCTCCTCCCCCAACCCCTTTCCCCTGTCCCTATCCATCTTTCTGTTTGTTTCTGTTTGTCCGACTGTGTGTCTGTCTTTTCTCATTTCGTTCGAAGGTTTCTTTTCATCGGACGCGGAGGCGCTGATTAACACCGGCAAATTGCGTCTCGTTAGCCTGATTTTACGAACCGTGCCAAATTTCATCTGGTAAAATCTGTTGCGGTGTGTTCGTGTGTTAGATAAAGAGATAGGGACGGAGAGAAACGATTATTTATTGTGACGCATCGCGACACGTCTTTTGTTGCAAACGTTGCATTGAGTATTTGTCTCTCTCTGTCTTGGGTTATTTTATTGATAAAAATTTCTATCATTATTATTTTTTCCACATTGCACACATTGTCGTAAATTAAATTATAATTTTCTTTTTTCTCTTCGAATGTTTCAACGTCGAACAGTTTTTTTTTTCCTTTTTTTTTTGGGGAGTAAAATTAATGAATATGCGAAGATAAAGTGAGAAAAGTTGAGAAGTGGACTAAATTAGAATGGTAAACGCGTTCGATTCTAAGCACGCACGAAATTCGTTCCGTAAATGAGTGCGGAGTCCTCGCTTTTGATCGCGTTTTATCGCTTAAGTTAGATTAAAATCTTAGAATAAGATAGAGGAGGGAGGATCTCTCACTTTGTTCCTTTGGAAAAAGGAAGAAGGACAAAAAATTGACGAGAAAGAGAGAGAGAGAGAGGGAGAGGGAGAGGGAGAAGGGTGAGCTTGATAAAAGTTCTAGAGTTTCATATATAAAAAAGGAAACGCTCGTAAACGAAACGTATGAAAAGAAGAAGAAAAATATATGTAACTATATTTAAGAGAGGGAAAAAGACAGGGTGTACAATAGAATACATTTAAATGAATAAAATCGAAGAATATTGGATAGATATTGGAAAGAATAATGAAATATAATTGGGGAATTAAAGGAACGAAAAGAGACTGACAATCCTAAAAAAAAAAAAGAAAAAAAAAAAGAAATAATTTGTTCTTATCGTTAACGATATTCGAAGTTGGTACGTTTATCGTTCCCATGGGTCTCCTATAAATGAGAGAGAAGGACGGAGATAAATAGTCGCAGAATTCCCAAGGATTTCATCGAAAGTTTCTTACCCAATTGGATACGAATATCCTTCGCCTATTCTTTTTTCTGCTTTTTCTTTTTTTTTTTTCTCCTTCTATTCTTGACCTTCCTCCCTCCACTTTACGCAAGACTAATCGAAACGCGAGTCATTCGTCTCGTTTATTTATATACGCTATTATCAAGAAACCTATTGCGAGACTTACGTTAGAGAGTTTGATATCTTCCAAGAAAAACCACCTTCGGAATTCTCGAGGATTTCTTAATCCTCGATTAATCAGATAAAAATTCAAGAAATAAAGAGAAAGGGGAAAAAAGTTGCAATAAAAAGAAACGATTTTCATCCTACGTACGCTTTATAAGCCTCGAAACTAAGATGTTTTATGCGATAATAATGACGCCATCAAGGCCACCTAGACTATTTCTCAACTATCAGTTTCATCTTAATTGCGTCTGCTTGAAACGTCCTTTTGATTTCATACTCGCATTTTGATACGCCTAAAATTGTATATATACATATCTATTAAGCGTGGTCTCGTTCATTTTTGGTTTCACGACGGTCGAAAAAAGAAAACGATGGAAAAAAGAAAATGTTCGGGCGCGCGAATATAAGGGTGACCCAGGGTAGTATAGTCCATAACTCAAGTCCGTGGAAAAGTAGGTATGATAATGGAAAAAGAAAAGGCAACTAAGTAATGGTGATACCACGGGACACGTTCCACCTTAGGACACTCTCTTTCTCGGCGAGGAACATTGAGAAATTACTTAGACCGGATATCGCAAACTGGAGTCGCGATGAGTCACGTGCACGCGCGTACAAAATAAATGAACGACCATAAATCTTTCGAATGGAATCCTTCTTTTTATTTTCCATAAGAATACGTAAGAGAACTTGAGTAAGCCTTATGTGTGATATCTTTTTAATTCGTTAGTTTAATTATTAAAAGTATTTTCTTGGAATTGAAATGAAAAGAATTTTGTGCATAATTTTGGATAATACCAGATAAGGGTAGGCAGTCATTTCGAATTTTCTCTCTCGCATAGAAAGTAATATTCGCTTTGGGGGGTTGGACGGGTGGGTTGATGGCGTAAAGAGAGAAAGGAGAATATCTGTGCACCTGGTGTTATCTTAGAGCACGGAGACGAGAGGTTGTATAGGTTCTATTACCATTAGGGCACCTAATGCTTTCCGGGTGTTAATGGAAAGCAGACACGTTCGAAACGGTTCTCAAAGATACCCCTAGCGAAAATCGTCAGGGCCGGATA